AACATATGTGAACCCCATGATGTAGAAATTCCAATACTAAGTATAACCAAGGAAATCATATACATATGCTCTTCACAGTAAATTGGTTATCACCAAAAACTATAAACAATAAAATGTCGATCAATTGTGGAATGAATAAATATATTGTCATATATACATATAAAGAATACTATCCCATAATTAATTAACTATAGCCTTATATAACCTCATTTATATCATAGGCATAATATTGAGTGACAAAGTGACACAAAGAATATATACCATATTGTTCTACTTATGTGAAGTTCAAAAGGAGCTAAACTAATCTATGGTATTAGAATTCAGGATTGCTGGTTATCCCAGAAGGGAAGTAGGGCATGCCTGCAAAGAGAGAAGGTAGTTTCTGGGGTTCTGGTAATGTTCTGTTTATTGATCTGACTGCTGGCTATAGTGTGAATTCACATTATGAAAATTCATAAGATACTTCTCTGTATATATGTATTAAAATGTGTGTATTATGTAAGTATATATTATGTATTTCTTATTTTTCTATGTATATATGTGTGGGTACATACATTGTTAAAAGAAAAAAATTTAACAAATTGAGATTTAAAGATCTGGCTTTATTAGCATTCATTAACCAGGTCTCATACAGTCTATAAAACAGGAGCTCTACTGAGCATGATAGAGCTCTTAGTTTTGTAAGTAAGGTTGAGCAGGAACAAAGAAACAACAAAGTACACAAATCAGGTTAGTTAGCATCAGGTTACTTCAGGTTACTTTCCTTGTATTGGTTAAAGCAGAGGGCACTTCTTTATCATGTTGGTTTAAGTGGACTAGGCCCCTTTTGATTGAATTCTGTGAATCCCCTGTTTTTTTGAAAACTGTTCTGTTTGGGGCTGTCATGTCTCAATTTCTCAGAATATCAGATCTTGCAAATAAACAGTTTAGGTTTCAGTTTGCTGACATGGAACATTAGCATGTGTGGCTCCATTTTGGGTTGGTGTGTCAATGCCTACTACAAGAGCTCAATCCAAATGAATGTCCTTCCATAATTTTTACTTAACAATATGCATACATACACTTACACACACTTTTTACGTATTACATCCAAAATGTAAGCACTTCTGACTTCCTCTTTTGCCCCAGTTCCACTCTTTTGTGCTTTACCTTTCTCTGCAGTCTTTACCTCACCCCAAATGATAACATTTTTTTTGCATTTAAAAAAAGTTTTATTTATTATTTTTAGATATACATGACAATACAATGACAATACATATTATAAATACATTGAATATAACTTATTCTAATAAGGACCCCATTGTTGTGGTTGTTTATAATGTGGAGTTTCACCAGTGGTGTATTCATATATGAACATAGGAAAGTTATGTATGATTCATTTTACTGTCTTACCTATTCCTAATGATAACTTTTAAAACAGAAGCAGATTCATATATGTCCTTGGCTGGCAAAGCAGTAGTAGCAGCTTCCAAAACCAAACAGAATAAAATACTTTGAGGAATATATATTCTTTGTGTTACTTTGTCACTCATTATGCCAATGATATAAATGAGGTTATATAAAGCTATAATTATTTAATTATGGAATAGTATTCTTTATATGTATATATGACAATATATTTATCCATTCCACAACTGATCAACATTTTATTGTTTGAAGTTTTTGGTGATAATCAATTTACTGTACTGACCTGAAAGTCAGTACAAAATAGCCTCACCACCCACACTTGTTACCTCCTTTACAATGCTTTATTTTTATGTATAGCTTTTGTCACCAACTGATACATTATTGACTTGGATTTGGATGTGTAATTTCCTTCTCTAGTATTTAAACTGAATGAGAGCAGGAACTTTATCTTTCTGTTCTTCATCTTGAACAGTACTGTCATAAAGTAGATAATGATGGATGGATGGTTAGGTGAGTTTGTCACCAAAATATAGGACTTAGGCAGAATTATCATTAGCCTTCTTTTATAGGCTAGGAAACTTAGAAAATAAAATTACAGTAGTAAACAAAAAAAATGAAATTACTTACTTAATGTTTCTCGGTAATACAGACAAGGTCTCTGTTTCTCTCCCTCCTCCTCTGCTTTTGCCTCCCCTAAACCCACACATGCACACATATGCCCATATAGATGAATGTACAAGGAAAATGAAATAAGAACAATTGTCCTAATTAATGGAACTATGAAAATAAACTACTCTGTTCATTACAATTTTCAGCCACTTTACTCTCATCATAGTAGTAAAATATATTTTATAATGCATGGTGTGTGTGTGTGTGCGCATGTGTGTGTGCGCGTGTGTGTGTGTGTGTGTGAGAGAGAGAGAAAGAGAGAGATCTATACATGTATATTTATTTAATACATTTATATGGATATATGTCATCATATGTATATTTATATGTAAGAGAGATATCTCACACGTATATCTTTTTCACACATATATAAGAATGTATAATAGAAAATTATAGATATTACATAATATATATAGACTGTAATGAGGCCAATGTCAGAAGAACATTTGTTCATCAAGTAAAGCTTTCAGTAAGGCAGAAAATGATGGCTGAAGGGAACAATGACTTTTATATCTCAGTGCAAAATAACCATTCATGTCAGAGGAGAAGGCAGTGTCAGAGTTCCCTGTGAAACTGAGATCAGCAGGGCATGTCCATGACTCCAAAATGGGAACTCTGGCTTCATCTTGGTCCCTGTGTGTGGTGGCTGTGCATCCCATGGCAAGTTACTAACCTCTCCAAGTGTACCTTCCTGGAGCTTTAAAGTGAAAATTGTAAGCATCTATCCTGGCAGGGATTTGGTAAAAATCAAATGAAATCAGAATGAATATCAATGGTCAGCCTTGTTCAAATGCAGAAAGGACACCTGGAGGCTAATCAGCAGAAATATTAATGAGTACTACCAAGGCCTATTTCAAATGTAAAAGGCCATGAGGCTCACCTGTGGAACACCTCCAGCCAACTCCTTTGTCCCAGAGGTAGGAAAATGAGAAGGTGGGGGGTGAACCCAGACAGAAGTTGATAGAAGAATTAAAACTCAAAGGTGAGATAGCCGTGGTGCTATTTTCACAGTGCCTGTTTTACAGCAGACTTGAATATAACTTATTCTAATAAGGACCCCATTGTTGTGGTTGTTTACAATGTGGAGTTTCACCAGTGGTGTATTCATATATGAACATAGGAAAGTTATGTATGATTCATTTTACTGTCTTACCTATTCCTAATGATAACTTTTAAAACAGAAGTTTTAAAATCTAAAACTAATTTAATCCATGATTTTGATGCTGTTCACAATACCTGTTTTACATAGACTTTGATCTGTGATCTTGGTGTTATTTTCAATGCCTGTTTTACATAGATTTTAATCAATAATTTTGGTGCTGTTTTCAATGCCTGTTTTACATAGATTTTGCTCCAGAACCATATGTAAATCCTAAGCTAGCACACCAAAAGGGTTTTTGTTTTGTTTTATTTTGTTATCAGGACCCTTCCTGCAAGGTTGGAGTTCTATCTCTTCTCACTTAAAGAAATCCTACTGTGTTTACTCTTCTTTTCCATGATTGGCCATGGATTTTATTCTTCAAAATTGGCAAGACAAGAACCCAGAGGAAATTGGCCAAGTGAGGAGTCTAGGGTTATCTCAAAACTCCAATTTCAATAATTCTGAAAATGTTTGGTAGCCAGATTCTAAAAATATTTTGTAGTTGTAATAGTTTATAGAATTATTACTATGCTTAAATAATTCATGGAATATCCTTCCTCTCTCTCTACACCTGAACTTGCTTCTCCAAGGTTTAACTACTGTTGCCACCCACTCTTGGGATCTGCTTATCCCTAACTAGGATATTTGTCACTAATTAAGTAGGAATTTTCCATGTGTTCCTTATCTAAACTAGCTTGCCTAACCATTCAGAATAGAACTATGGCCTCTCTGAAACTCAGATTATTAAGACTATACATTTATGAATAAGCCATTCACTGAGATTGGGATCGGAGATGGAAATTAACAATTGGGAGAAATCTCTTCCTTCACAATCCCAGGATGGAATGCTGCCTCATTTTCCTAAATATTTTTCTATCTATTCCAGTTACCATTTAATGAACACTTGTTACATGCCAGGCACTGTACTGTGTATTATTTCATGTCATCCTTACAACAGACTAATACATTTTGTATTAATATTGCCACTTACAAACTAGAAAACTATAATCAGAGAAATTAAGTAGCTTCAGCAGCATCACATTCCTGGTAAGTGGCAGAGTCAGGATTTGAACCCAACCTGCCCAGTTCCTTTTCCAGACCTTTGACATTTATTGATTGTTTACCTCTTACATTTCAAGTCATTTTGCATGACTGTATTTAAATTTCTATCCCTTTATGGCTTAATTATTGTGCCTGTCATGAGTAGGGAATCAGCCTACAACGAAGATGACTAAGGTGTCTCCCTGTGCTTAAGGAAGGATTAGGATCCACTGGTGGGAAAATAACAGGCAAAGAAATTACCACATAACATGGAAACACGTAAAAGGTCATAACTAAGGAAGCATCAGTCTCCTCACCTGTAACACAGAAATAATACTCACATTATAAGACTCTTATGAGAGAATGAAAATCTGTGTCAAGTACTTAGCAAAAAACCTAGCACATAACAAGTGTTCAGTACATGAAATCTGTAATGTTACTAAACAGTTAAAGGACAATAAATAGGATACCAAACTAAAAAAAACAAATTAGAGCCAGATTTTGAGAAACCTGACTGCCAGTCTAAAGAATTTGGACCTTCAGCTTAATAAAAACAACACTAGTAATCACTCTGAAAAGAAATTAGAGCCAATGCTATTTAACATTACCTTTCAAAATTCATGGTAAGTAAGCTGGAGTTGGTGGAAACAGTTGGAACTGGTATAAAGAAATTCTGTATTTAATGAATTGAAAGGAAAGATGATATTTTCAAGTTTGATGCCCTTTATTTCTTCTTCCACAGTAATTAGTGAATGCCAAAGGCAGCAACTGGAGTCTGTGAGCTACTCCTCTCGCTATGCTCTGGGCCTCTTTTATGAAGCTGGCACGAAGATTGACGTCCCTTGGGCTGGGCAGTACATCACCAGTAATCCCTGCATACGCTTTGTCTCCATTGATAATAAGAAGCGCAATATAGGTCAGTACCCCCATTATTTCCCTTAAATACAGTAACAATGGTGGGTGTAGATCATGAAAAATGCTGTTTAATTGAGTGTTGCCATTCTGAACAGAGCAAGCATTTAACTCCAAGCCACAGGGGATAAAATTTAATGTCACATTTGCCCAGTCATAAAATACACAGTGAAACCAGCAAAGTTTTTCAGAAAATCATTCACCACATGGTTCGTATTACCGAGTTCATGAAAATAGTGTCAGAAGGTTTAAGATTTCAAAATGGCCCATGTCCTATTGCTTTAATATGGATCCATGTATATGCAAATGTATCCCTCATCGTCTGTTTCTTGGTGGAGTTCTTTTCTGTTTGTTTGGCTTGGGCTTTTTAAAATTTGATAAGTGCTGATTTTCCATTTCTCTGGCTAGAAATAAAAGTGAACTTTACTGTGTTATGAAAATCCTTCACTTCATCATAGTTTTGTTGTTTACTTACATTTCATCTGGAAAAATAGGGTAAAATTACTTTGTATACAGTATAACTAAAATGATAGGCAAAATGTTTCACGAGAGCTTTCTTAGAATGCGATGAAATCTATCTACCCTTCACCTTTTTTATTGAAGATAGTTATAAAAATTAAATTTGAATTGCAAGAAAAATAAAACATTCATTTTAGGCAATAAATAAATAAATAAATGAAGTACAACTATATTCTTACTTGTAGGAGGATTGTGGTATCTCCCCAAGATACCATTTTTCATAAATAAACTATAATGATCTAAAATGACTAAACTCTTGAAAGAAATCATTGCTTCAATGTGTAATAGTGTTTTATGGCCCAGTGATGGTTTCACCAAGCCATTAGTTAGAAGTCTTGCTTGATAAAATCACCAACTAAAGTCTCTCGGCTTGCCAGAGCCTTATAATGATAGAAGTAGTCTGGAGTGTGGTTTTTCTATCAGAGCACATGATCTTAGAAAAATGTTTCTTTTATAACTTAAAACTCCCTAAGAGCTGGACTGTTTATGTTAACATGATACCACATATATGTACAATCAGCAGTTCATGAAATGCCCTATAACAGCAATGGACTCACCATTTTTAACTCCACACTGCTTTGTTCTGAGGAAAGGAAAATAGCCTTCATTTTTCTCAAGTTATATGGTAAGAATTAGACATTATCCCCTGTATCTTGCTTTATAAGATATTATATCTGTCCGGGTGCATCCATCTGTATGTAACAGAAAAAAAATTAAACTTGTTTAAATAACATAAGGACACCTGGTATGTTATCTGTTATGAACTGAATGATGACTCCTCCAATTCATAGGTTCAAGCCTTAATCCCAGTGTGATTGTATTTAGATATAAGGATTTTAGCAGGTAATTAAGATTACATGAGATCATAAGGGTGGAGTCTTAACCCAATAGAATTGGTGGTCTTATTAGAAGAGCAAGAAAGAAAGAGGTCCCTATTTCTCCGTCATGGCTTTCAAACAGCAAGGAAAAGCCTGGTGAGGACAGCAAGAAGTCAGCTATCTGCAGGCCACAAAGAAAGCCCTCACCAGGTACAAAGTAGACCAGCACCTTGATCTTGGACATCCCAGGCTCCAGAAATGTGAGAAATTTCTGTTCTTTGAGCCACCTAGTCTCTGGTATTTTGTTACAGAAGAACAAGCTGACTAGGAAGAAGAGATTGGGGAAACTTTAGAACTGGTTGATACAGAATGGAGCACTATCTTTAAGGTCCCAGGATTCATATTTCTCAGCTCTCTTCCATTCTTGATGTTGACATCCTTAGAGACGTGGTAGCAAAATGGCAGTAGCTACTGGAATTGCACAGAAAACTAACAACATGCTTAGGAATAAAAGGGATCCTCACTGACTCTGCTCATTTCTAAGAATCAAGGAAATTTTTCCAGAAACCCCTTAACAGACTTCTCATATTTGTAAACCAGAATTAGGTTACTCATCCAATCCAAAATCAGTCACTGACAAAATGGGTAGGAATATTCTGATAAATCTAGACAAATCAACTGCAACTTATATTAGAGTCCTCTTCTTGTTAGTCATGTGAAAAGTCACCCTTGAATATAATAGGGGTTTGTTAGGGGAAAAGAAGTAAGTAATGGATGCTGGGTTGACAATTACTAATACCCATTATCTTCAAGTACAGTCACATATTATGTAGAAGGCAAGTTCTAAAGTTGGCACATAAAGAGAAGAATATTCAAAATTACCTTTGAAGTCCCTTAAAACTACATTACATTTTGGAGAATGACAGAACAACCTTCAATGACATAACAAATTGTTGTGCAGCCATTTCACAACATTTAATAGATTTCAGTTTCTTTGGGTGATGATAAATTAAATACTTGCTTTGCATTTATAGGATGAAGTGATATTTTCTACTATGAAAGGCACATAGGAAGGAAAGAAATGGCAGTCATATCTCCTAACAGATGAAATCTGCTGTACAAATGGAGTGGGATGTGTGTGAAAGCACCCACATTCCATTACAGTGACAATTTATAAAACTGTGCAGATTTGAAAGAGTGCAACATAAGAATATTAACAAACTCCCACATGATTGACAACATTTGTAATAATAGAATTTTAAAGACATTTTTATATCAACAATCACACAATTTTAAAATTGTAAGACCATGATTTTGCTACAGCCCATGGTGGTGCCAGTTCAAATGGCAAAGAATACCTGCCTTCTTTTGTCAAGTGTTGGAAAATTCATCTTCTATTATGCAAGTTTTAAATTATTTGAAGCCTCCAGTAATGACATTTCCTAACACAGAATCTAATAGCCTTCACTTAAACGGGTTTTTCTCACTATCTGGGGCCAGAGTATTAAGTGCATCAGGTTGACCTCACGTAATATAAATGTCCATATAATATAACTCCACTATATTTTATTAATATTATTATTGTTCTGGGTCAGTAAGAGATGTTTCTTTTTTCTTTTCTTTTTCTTTCTTTTTTTTTTTTTTTTTTTTGTGGTGCTGGGGATTAATCCCAGGGTCTTGTGCATGTGAGGCAAGCACTGTACCAACTGAGCTATATCCCCAGCCCAAGATGTTTTTTATGTCACTATTGCTACTCCATGCTCAACTTTTATTTGAGGAGTTTGATTAAATCAAGAATGAATACTATGATACACATACTCAACTAATGAAGGGAAACCTTTGTGTTCTATCAAGGTAGGGCAGCAACCAGATAGATGAGGTCTGGCAGGGTTGAGACCACAAAATATAGTGTATTGATAAGTCTTTTGAGACAAAGGATAAAGAAATAGCCCATACCAAAGGTCGAGGCATAATCATCTGTCAGATGTCAGGCAGAATGTGCAGAAAGCCACAATCAGAACAAACAGTTCCTTCTGGAGAGGACCTAAATTCCAAGATCCAGCTTCAAGTACCAGTATCTATGGGTCTAAATCAATATACTGATGTTTGTGTTTCCAAAAGTGTGTTTTGTGGAATGCTAATTCCTCACAATGCTCTTTGGGAAGGAACTCTGTCATAAAATAAGTTTGTAAAATGATATTGACCTTTTTGGAAAGTTTTAGGAAATATCCCATTAAAGGATATTTCTATAAAAAGGACACATTTATCTATCTATTTATTTATTTATTAGTTCTAATCAGTTATACATGACAGTAGACAGCTCTTTGATTCACTGTACACAAATGGAGCAGAATTTTTCACTTATCTGGTTGTGCATGAAGTAGAGTTAACACCATTCGTGCAATCATACATGTACCTAAGGTAATGATGTCCATCTTATTCCACTGTCTTTCTTACGCCTACTTCCCCACTTTGCCCCATCCAAAGCTACTCCACTTATCCCATGCCCCCTCCCCCCGCATGTGGATTAGCATCCACTTATCAGAGAAAACATTTAGCCCCTGTTTTTTGAGATTGGCTTGTTTCACTTAGCATGATATTCTTCAACTCCATCAATTTACCTGCAAATGCCATAATTTTATTCTCTTTTAATGCTGAGTAACATTCCATTATGTATATGTACCACAATTTATTTATCCATTCATCTATTGAAGGGCTTCTAGGTTGCTTCCACAGTTTAGCAATTGTGAATTGTGCTGCTATAAACATTGAAGTGTCTGAATTACTGTAGTATGCTGTTTTTAAGCCCTTTGGGTTTGAACTGAGGAGTGGGATAGCTGGGTCAAATGGTGGTTCCATTCCAAGTTTTCTAAGGAATCTCCATACTGCTCCCCAGATTGGTTGCATCAATTTACAGTCCCACCAGGAATGTATGAGTGTGCCTTTTTCCCCCACATTCTCACCAATACTTATTGTTGCTTGTAATCTTGATAACTGCCATTCTGACTGGTGTAAGATGAAAATTTAGAGTAGTATTGATTTGCTTTTAATGTTGAACATTAAAAACAGACACATTTTCACTTCATTTAATCTAGAATTTCCCAAATATATTTGACCATGGACCATTTGAACCCATGAACAGCCTTTAGAAATGATTCCCCAGCACATACTCTAGAAATCTTTGTTTGATGTTGTCTTTTGTGCTTCTTACTTTGACAGGAGTAATAGACCTTTGATTGGAGGGGGGAGGTCTGGTCCTGAAGGCATTGATGTGGAGATATTTTTAGAGATAGGGAGCCCTTGTCACTCAACAAACTCAAATCTCAATGGGATTCAAATTTAAGGCATTGTAGATTTTAAAAAATCTTTATTATATTAACATCATGCTATAGTTTGGATCTTCAATGTCCCTGCCCCAAAAGCCCATGTGTTAAAAACTTGGTCCCTAGCTTGAGTTGTTGGGAATTAGAAGAAACTTTAAGAGGTAGGGCTCAGGGAAAGTCTTCCAGTTTGGGGGAGTATACTCTTGAAGGGGGTAGTGGAATCCTAGCCCCTCTTTTCCTCTTTTCTGCTTCCCAGCCATGGGGTGAACAGCTTTTCTACCGTATACTACCTCCAAGATACGCTGCCTCACTACAGGCCCAAAAACAATGGGGCCAAGCAACCA